CCCCATTTGACCCCATCGACTAAAATGGCTTGGTCCGGCTTGGTTTGGCTTGTACTTTCAAGTCGATTAGGTTCGGTTCGGTTTAGCTTGACCTCCCAATGGTTTTCTTGACTTCGATCTCAAGTCTGGACCATTAACCACACTAGTCTACGCAGGTGCACAGGCTCGCTTAGACTGTAAAAATGATACCTTTGCCGTAATTATGATATACTCGTTCACATCACAGGACCTAACACCTAATGTTTTTTTAGACTATTTTCATGGCAATAAGCTCAATAGACTCTTTAATTAACCAACATATTTATTTTTTAGCAAAATATAAAATGTGTTACAGATTAACCCGAAAACATTTATAAAAAATCACGGGCGACTAATTAGGGAACGTGGGATAAGTTTATAAATATTCAAATAAAACGAATGCTTACTGACAGCGTTGTCAAGGGACACCTTGGGATAATGTTGGGACAAAAAATTTTTTTGAAAATGTAAATAGCACAAAATTTTATTATCAAAACCTACTTGAACTATTAATTAAAGTTGCTTATATTTATTTATAAAGTTTTAATATCTATTTATAGGCTAATTACGGATAGGGACAGTGAGACAGCTAAAAAAAGCTGGGGACATGCAAAATGTTCAATACTGGACTTACTATATCTTCATGAAAAAAAATAGAGAAATAAATAGAATTGATATCATAATTTTCTAGGAGAAAAAAAGAATTTATTAAGTGTACAAATCCACGTATTCTTGAATATTTTTCATATGAAAAATTTCTAAAAAAACTAGAGTTAAAAAATACTTATCGACGAAACTATTTCATTAATCAAAACATTACACATTTGAATTCTGTAAATTTTTTTAATGTTCTAGTTATAAAATATCATTATATATAATTCTTGAACATTTAGAATAATAACAATCATTATCTTTTATGATTAAACAATTTCTTTATATAGATATGTAGAAAATATTAATTGTTTTGAACCGAGATTGACCGATGATGTAACAATAAAATCTATTTATTAAAAAAAAAATTACACTGCTGTCTTTTTAAAAAATTTAAATACTTCATAATCTTCAATCGAACAATTTTCAGTAATTAAACTCTATTTTTCATAATAATTACCATTACCACTAGGACCACGATCACATTAAATCCGAAGCATTTGATTATATAATAAATTCACAATTACCAAAATATGGACCAAGTATTTTTTGACAATAGAATCATAATAGCAAAGAACTCTACTTGTATTTCTACGACTCGACCGTGAATCGAATTTTGAATATTTCTATTCTTTAATGAAAAAATGAAACTACTATTGATTTCTATAAAATCACCATAACCTTTGAAGCCACGGTAGTACCAGCACATCCCCTAAAATATTTTGGGACAAAAACCATCCCGATTACCTCGAAGGATTAATGAAATTCGTAAGATATGTTTGATAGAGAGTAATTAATTGATTCCATGATGAAAGTTCCAAGGCATGCTCTTTTGTTGATTATGATTAAGAATGGTTCATTCACTCTTGATGATAATGATAATTCATGGGTTGAAATGGTCTTGAAGGAAATTTAGGATTTGAAATGATTCTTGCCGATAAAATGAAGTTGATTTTTCTTCCGAATTAGTAGATAAATAGGATTTGTGTAATTCCTTATTTGATAATAAATCCAAATTTTAACCTCTTCGCAAAATAGAAATCAATGGAGTCAAGTGATTCAAAAATCAAATTTGGAATATTATCATTATAAAATTTTTTCTATCATTACTATAAATTCTTAACCAAGAAGCGTTGAGGTAATCTCTAATTTTTCCGATAGTTCTTTAAATTGCAATTCATTATCCATATTTTCGTTGTTAACAATTCCACCATAGATGCATCTATAATAATAATATGCAATTTTTTTATAATTGATAATCCACAAGTCAATTATAGAAATTTTTAATTTTTTGTAAATGTAGAGTACTTTCATATAAATCTTTTTTTAATTTTTATTCAAAAAAATATATAATTTTTTTTATGAACAATTCTGAGATAAAAACTATTTATTTATTTATTGAATTAATTTAATATTTATTAAATATAGAATTATGGGAAAAATTATTGAAGAACTTTAATTATACAAAAAATATGCTTTATTGCGTCACAAAATTTGTATTAATAAAAGTATAAGTTTAATAATATTATTATAAAATATTACGATTACAAAATTTAAATTTTTAAATAATAAGACGACCGAGTATGTAGGGAAAGATTCTATTTCCTTCTTTACCAACTTCAATGACAAAGGACATTTTATTATTTAAAATTTCAAACTGCACAATTAGTTCAAAAAATGTGAATGTTATTGTAAATTTTTTTATTTATAATTAATATTTTCTATATTTAATGCGTCTACTAGATTCAAATTTTTTTATCTTTATTCTTTTCTAGCGAGAATTATTACATTCGTAATATTCGTTAATATTGGATAGCATAACTTAGCTTACAATGATAACGTATAAATAACAAATCAGTTAATCATATAATGTACGATTCATTTATTTATTTATTAAAATATAAAAATATAAAAATATAAAATAAAATATAAAATATAAAATATAATGTATAAGCTAAATTGAATAATGATACTATATATATTATATATTATTTCATTTCACGTTTTTAGAATTTTTAACGTTTTTTAATAATCCTAAATACTTCATAATCTACAATAGAAAAATTTTCTTTGGTCGTTCTAATGGGCTTTTCATAATAAGTGTGATTATCACACCAACATGATTTATCTTGAGTAAAATCGTAAACATCTGATTTCATCTGAAACTCACAAAATCCAAACCATGGACCATAAATATTTTGATTATCAGAGTTACAATAATATAAAGCTCCGCTATTATCTACAACTCGGCTGAGAATTGAATTTTGAATATTCCCATTTTTTAATGAAAAAATGAAACTATCCTTTGTTTCCAGATAAGTTTCGCTTGTTACACGTTCCCAAGCTAAAGGATTATAACCACCAACAATTTCATCAGTTTCAGCAACTTTTGCAACTACAATTGTGCGAGAATATCCATAGCACATCTCCCAAAATGTTTTGGGATGAAAACCATCTCGACTTCCTCGAAGAATTAATTGAAATTCATAGGGTACATTTGATAAGGAATAAATGGTTAATTTTCGATCAATCCATGATGAAAGTTCTGCGACATGGTCTTTGTCGTTAATTATGGTTGAGAATGGTTCATTCACTCTTGAAGGTAATTCGGGATTTGAAAAAGTTCTCGCCGGTAAAATAAGTGATTTAACAGGTTTATTTGGATTCATGAAATATTGTTTTAAGTCATTCCAAAGTTGTTTTTCAAGGATTTTTTTATAGGGTTTTATTTTCTCCCAAATACATTTACCAGGAATATGAAAATATCGAATAAGTGGTAAACAGCGTTGTAATGTTATTTTTAACGCCTCGAAATTTTCTTCAGACCATTCTTCCAAATTAATAGGAAAAGTAGGATTCTGTGCAATTCCCCATTTAATAACATAATCCCAAATTTTAATTTCTTCGACTTTCAAGACATCTCTTTGTAAAATAGAAATTAATGCTATTTCTTGGAGTGAAGTAAAATCTTCGGATTCAAAAATTAAATTTGGATTTTTTGTAATAATATCATTATAAAATGTTTTCAAACCTTTAAATTCGTTATTATCAAAGATTGAATGATAAACTAAAGAGAAATGAGTTCTTAACCAAGAAGCTTTAGATTCGATAAGGTAACTCTCTAATTTTCTTGACAATTCTTTAAGTTCTAATTCATTAGCAGTGAACATTAATTCATAAACAGTTTCGATATCCGTATTTTCGATATCAACAATTCCACCATAGATATATCTATAAAATGGATTTTATTTTATTAATATCAAGTCATAAAATTATAAATTTATTATTTAAAGTAACATTACTTACTTAAGAATAATTTCGAATATTTGAACAGAAATGTTTGGTTTAATAATAATTTGGATATTATTTTTATTCGTAGTAGCGTTCTCTAATTCTTTATCAAAGTAGGATGAACGATAACGTAAGACAAGCGAATGAGCAGTAAAAGATTTCTTATTTTCTTCGTTATCAACTTCGATGATAACATTATAATCTTTTTTATCGTTAAGAAGCTCTGAAAAATCTTGAGATAATTTATCAAAAAATTTGAAAGACATTTTATTTTTTTTTAAACTTCAAATTGTACAACTTTTAAAAACGTATTCTCTGTTGTACAATTTAGAAACAATCAAATCTGTAAATTTAAGCAATTTAGAAACAATTATAAATTTAAAGTAGTTATGATTTACTAAACAAATTTCATGAATCTGATTGGATTGGAGTATTCTTGGCAAAGATTTTCAAAGAATAAGAAAATACAAAATTAAAAATGAGGAATGCAACAAGATTTGTGGTTGCTATTTCGCATTTCGTTAATTATATTTTCTTTGGTTTATTATCGTAGTCTGAAAAATATCATTATTATGTAATTTAAAGATGCCTGTAGTAATATGTTTTTAGGGGGATGATAATATTATGTAAGTGAGAGTTATTTACCGAATTCCGAGGCCGCATGCATTTGATATTTTCTCATTATAGAAAATTTATTATTGTGGTAAAAATTAGACTATAATGCATACACAATAACAATTATCTAAAAAAAGCTTATTTTATTGGAAATACATTTTTTTGAAGTCTTTGTAAAATTACTTTATAAATGTACTTTATTTCATACCTCGTTTCATTATGCAGAACTGCACTTTCCCAAAATTTTTTTTTTTACCCATTGGAAAAAAATGCACTTTCCCACTTCTTAACTATCAGGCTCAAATACATTTTCCCAAATAAATCAAGGCTAATTTAAAACAATGATATCATAATTAAAAAATAATAATTTGTCTAAAAATGGTTTGAAAATAGATCCCTTCTTTTTTTTTCACGTCGTGTTAAAGATGACCAATTTTTCTGATATCTACTTTGATTGCTTCTCTCATTTATCTTATCTTTCTTATTTCCCTTACTTTTTTGTTCTTATTTTATCCATAACTCTTCCCAGTTGCTTTTTCTTATACAATAAATTTTTCTTTGCCAAAAAAAATTTACCGCCGTCATCATTGAAAAGAGAAATAAAAGAGGAAAATGATGATGACATATCTTCATCCGGTGGTTTCGTCGCATTAATTCGTAAACTTCATACTAAACAAGGTCCCGTTGTTTCATTAAAACTTCCTTTAGAGAATACTATTTCAGTAGTTGATACTACAATAATCAAAGAATCGTTACAAAATGGTGATAGACCAAAAGATTTATTTAAATTTTTGGAACCATTAGCTGGAAAAGATAATCTTCAAATTTTTGATAATGAGAGATCTCAAAGATTTAGGAAATTGACAGGATCCGCATTTGGGCATCAAAGTGAGTTAAATGCAAGAAGCACCGTCGCTATAAATAATAGATAATAATTATAATAAATTTAATAATAAATATAATAAAATATAATAAAAATATAAATTAAATTATTTATATAATACTAGTTATGTTGGAAAAATTTGAAGGAATTCGAAATATTGCAATCGATTTAATCAATAGATGGGAAAAAATTATCAATACTCAAGAAAATGCCATAATTAAGATGCAACAAGAATGTTTTGAATATTCTTTAAGGATTACTGCATATATTATTAGGTAATTTTTTTTTTAAATCATATTTTTTACCAGTAATTCATATAATACATGTAATTCATTATTCATGTTAAAAAAAAAAAATTCATAAAACAGTAACGTCCAACTTCAAGATTTGGATTTTCAAAAATTTCGAAAAGCTTATGATACCGTCTTAAGTAATGTATATGACAGACAATTTGGAATTATCAGTGATCAAGATGATGAAGATTTTCAAAGTGAATTTGATTTTTATGGAAATACTTTGGAAAAGTTAATTAATACAAAAAAGAATGTAATCAAAAGTAGAGAGGATAATGAAAATATTATTAAAGATTTTCTTGATATTTTGATTAGTGAAAATAATCCTGATACAGGAGAACCTTTTAGTTCTGAAACGGTAAGCTCTATTTGAATAGATTTATACATTATTATTATTTATTATTATTTAATATTATTATTTTTATATACTTATTATTATTATTTTTATATATTTAATATTTTAAATCTAGATTAAAAGTTTTTTCGGTGGTTATTTGACCGCTGGATATCACACTATAGGAGTTGCTATCCCTTTTACACTATTTTCTTTAACCCAATATCCAGATATTCAAAAGAAACTTCATAAGGAAATTGATAAAGTGTTAGAAGGACGTTTACCTACTTTTGATGGTAACATTTTTTTCTAAAACTTTTATGTCATTAAATCCTGATAAAAAATATTAAAAATACATAACAAAAAAAATTATATTTATTATTAGATTTGTCCAAGATGAATTACCTTACTCAAGTTATAAAAGAATCGTTAAGACTACATCCACCTGGATTATTTTGTGCTCGTTTATTCGAATCATCTAAATCATTCAAATTATCATCAGGCGAAGAACTTAATATTAATTCAGGAACCACGATTCTCTATCCTATTCCATTATATCATGAAAATCCTGAATATTTTGATGATCCTTTTACTTTTAATCCTTCCCGTTTTGCTCCTGAAAATATTAATAAAATTAAACAAAATGCCTGGTGTCCATTTGGATTTGGAGCACGTATTTGTCCAGCCGTTAAAATATCCATGATGGATGCTAAAATGCTATTATCTTTAATTCTACAAAAATTCACAGTGGAATTGGCTATGAAAGTTGAAGATGTGATTAAGGAAGAAAGATTTGTTAATACGTCCAAAAATGATATTTTGGTGAAATTAATTCCAAGAAATGTGAATGGCAATGGAAATTAAAATGAAAATACAAATTTTTGTAGGAGGGGATGTGAGTTCTTGAAGGAATAATTGTAATAATTGTAATAATTGTGAAATAAATTTTTATTAGCCACATATATATTGCTGAAATTTTATATGTTTTCGATTTTAAATTTGTATTTATTTTTTTTAAATAAAATTTTTTTCTTAATCTTTTCTTCTCGAATCGAATGAATTTAATATTTTTAGTTTTATATTTTTTTCATAACATAAAAATTTGGCATGTTTCATTAACTCCTCAATCCTATTATTATTGATGTTATTACATCGGGCCATTCGTATGACTAAATGTTTTGAATTTGAGGTTAACGGTAATTAACGGCCACGTTGGTGTCACTGACTTTCATTTTTTTTTGATTATTGGAAGAAATTTTATTACTTAATAATGTGATTATTATAAATCCTGATATTAATATTTTAAAAACATAATGTTTGAAAGCTACAATACTTGTTGTTTATTTAAATTTACAAAACATGGCATGGGAATTTTTATATTCATTATTGTAATATTTTAATTCTAATTTTTAATCAAAATAAATTTTTTGCGACATATTTCTAGTGGAGAATTGACTTACTCGAGGGTTGGCTTTTAAGGATCAAATTGAAATATTTTTATTAAAATTAAGCATCACGATAGTTGATCACAGTCGCACTGTGACTCCAACTTGAAAAATTAGACTAGAATTCTATACTAAGTGCATCTAAATAAAATCAATTTTTTTGACTTTATTATTTTCCAACGAGAATTATAATATTCGTAATATCATTTATACTAAGTAACGGGAACCGTTGTAAGTCCGAAGCAATATTGTTAACACGTGACAGTGGTGATTTATTTTATTATTATCTGTTATTATTTCTAAAATCGAATAGGCTCCCAATCAGCTTCTCGAAACGAACAGACAGACATCACGTGTAGGTATATAGTAATCATAATGCGTAAACCATAATGTCTTTCGGACAATAAATTTTAACATAACGGAATGTATGATTAATTTAAATGGACATAACGGTTATTTAGAAAATATAAAATATAAAATACAATATTATAAACTAAATTGGACTTATGACAGTTTCCCCATATGTCAGCTAATGGTCATATGCCGTTGGCACGTGTCATAATTATCGTAATTATAAAATGAATACTTATTTATTAATCTTGTTTTGATTTGCATTTCGTAATTCGCTTATAAATTGAATAAAATTCGTTAGTATTTTTCTTTGAAATTACGTGAATCTAGATTATGTTTTCACTCCATTAATCCACATTGGTAGAATGTAAAAAGCAACTGGAACACGCTGTTACATCAAGCAAGAGAATATTGCCAGTCCAGAAACAGAAAATATTTTGGCGCTCATATCTCTTTGCGCTGAAGCAGTCAAGCAAGCATTACACGTGTATTCATGTAATGAAGTGATGGATATAGAACTGGATCTTTTCATAACCATTTTTTTTTAACAAAAAAGAAAGAAAGAAATAAATAAATAGAATTGACAATAAACTTTTTCCTAAACAATAATAGAAAGTAAGATAAGTGCACGTATCCACGCATTCTTAAATATTAGATTTGTTTTTTTAAAAAAAAGGATGAGATAATAATAAATTATTTTTAGGTTTAAGAATGTAACCATTGCTTTCTATAGTTCTTATTATTAAAATTACGCGAAACAAGTAAAATGTATTTGATTATCCTTTATTAACCAATTTTCACTACATATATGATATATTAAAGATATATTAATTATTTTGTGCCATATAATATCATATTGTGCCAATTGAAGCGATTGAAACTTGTTTTAGCATAACGTTGTCGGTTAAATAAATTGTAATTGCCATTAATAAAATATATTGTGTACTAAACTAAATTGAATAATGATGTTATATAATTTCTTGAGAATTTTTAGTGTTTTGTTTTTCAATAATCTTAAATACTTCATAATCTACAATAGAAAATTTTTCATTGGTTGTTCTAATAGGTTTTTCAAAATAAGCATCATGTCTAGTATTAAAATCAAGCCAAAATTTATCTTGACTAAAATCAGGACCACTTGATTCCATCATAAATTCACAATAATCACTATTATTTACAACTCTGCTGAGAATTGAATTTTGAATATTGCCATTCTTTAATGAAAAAATGAAACTTTCATGCGATTCCATATAAATTTCTTCTATCGAGTTATCCCAAGCTAAAGGATTATAACCACCTATTATTTCATCAGTTCCAGCAACCTTTGCAACCACAATTGTACCATAATGTCCATTACACATATCCCAAAATGTTTTGTGATGAAAACCATCTCGACTTCCTCGAAGAATTAATTGAAATTCATAAGGTATATTTGATAAAAAATAAGAAGTCGATTTTCGATCAATCCATGATGAAAGTTCTGCGACATGCTCTTTATTGTTCATTATGGTTGATAATGGTTCATTCCCTCTTGAAGGTAATTCGGGAGTTGAAAAGATTCTTGCGGGCAAAGCAAGACTTTTAACAGGTTTATTTGGGAACATCCGATATTGGATTAAATCATTCCAAAGTTGTTTTTCGAGGATTTTTTTGTAGGGCTTTACTTTCTCCCAAATATCTTCATCAGAAATTTGAAAATATCGAATAAGTGGTAAACAGTGTTGTAAAGTAATTTTCAAAACCTCAAAATTCTCTTTAGACCATTCTTCCGAATTAGTAGGTAAAGTAAGATTTTGTGCAATTCCCCATTTGATAACGTAATCCCAAATTTTAATTTCTTCAACTTTCAAGTCATCTCTTTGCAAAATAGAAATCAATGCTGTTTCTTGAAGTGAAGTGAAATCTTCTGATTCAAAAATCAAATTTGAATATTTTACAATAAAATCATCATAAAATTTTTTCAAATTTTTAAATTCATTGCTATCACAGATTGAATTATAAACAAGAGAGAAATGAGTTTTTAACCATGATGCTTTAGATTTGATAAGGTAACGTTCTAATTTTCCTGATAGTTCTTTAAGCTCTAATTCATTAGCATTGATCATTAGTTCGTAAATCGTTTTGGTACTCGTATTATCAACGATTCCACTATAGATATATCTATAAATGTATATTTTTATATTAATAAATTTACTATTTAAAGTACTATAATCTTCCGCATAAAAGACCCAGGGAGGGAAAAGAATATTATTTACGGTATAATATGGTACACAGATCACGATTATCCTATACATGTATGCTTATTTCTATATATTATATTTCAAGATTTTTGCCTCAGCGGATACTTTGTGCGGCAGATGAGGTAATGAACAATTTTTAACTTACTTAAGAATAATTTCGAATATTTGAGCAGAAATATTTGGTTTAATAATGGTTTTTGTATGATTTTTATTCTTAGTAACGTTCTCTAATTCTTTATCAAAGTATGATGAACGATAACGCAAAACAACCGAGTGAGCGGTAAAAGATTTCTTCTTTCCTTCTTTATCAACTTCGATGATAACATTATAATCTTTTTTGTCATTAAGAAGTTCTGAAAAATCAAGAGATAATTTATCTAAAAATTTAAAAGTCATTTTATCGTACATTATTTGGCAATCGGTTCACTCAATTTAAATATTTGAATCGATTGAACGGTGACGTAAAATAATGAAACCATCATCCCGGAAAGCCATGCCATTTTGGTTAAATCGGTCTATATCACAATAGACACTTGAACATTGTATCATGAAGACTTTTCCTTTTCACAAAAAAATTTCCTTTATCAGTTTGAACAATAGATCGGTTCATTTATCATTATTAAATAATTAAAAATAGGAGGATTATTTTAATGACGTTTTTGTTATCAAAATCATTGCGATGATTTTTCTATTTAATTGGTAATTTTTATGACGTATTTATTGAGATATTTTATTATTCTAAAAATAGTTGTTAAACAATGATAAATTATATTTTCATCGAAGTATTAATTAATTAAATCAATGAATTTTCGATGAAATAATAATGAATTATTTTTAGAGTTAAGAACGTGACTGATTTTTTATTTTTACATTATGGCACAATGTGATTAATATATCATTAATAATATATCACGTATGTAGTGAATAATAAAGGATAATAATGAAAACAATAGTCACCTAGGTCTAATGGTTTAGCATAGCGTAACGTTGTTGGTTAAATAAATTGTAATCATTTAATTTGGATTTTATTTTCATAAGTAGAAAAATATAAAATATTAAATAAAATATTGTGTTACAGTATGCTTTTTAAATACTTCATAATCTACAATAGAAAATTTTTTCATTGGTTGTTCTAATAGGTTTTTCAAAAATAAGCATCATGTCTAGAATTAAAATCAAACCGAAATTTATCTTGACTAAAGTCAGGACCACCTGATTCCATCATAAATCTAGAATAATCACTATTATCTACAACTCTGCTGAGAATTGAATCTTGTATATTGCAGTTCCATATAAATTTCTTCTATTGAGTTATCCCAATAAAAGAATATAACCATCAACTATTTAACCAGTTCCAACAACCTTTGCTACAATAATTGTACCATAATGTCCATTACAAATCGTCCGAAATGTTTCGTGATGAAAATTATTAATTGAAATTCATAAAGTACTGTATATTAGATAAAGAATAAGTAGTCGATTTTCGATCAATCCATGATGAAAGTTCTGCGACATGCTCTTTATTATTAATTAATTATGGTTGAGAATGATTCATTCCCTCTTGAAAGTAATTCAGAAGTTAAAATGGTTCTTGCTGGAAAATAAGCAATTTAATAGGTTTATTTGGAAACATAAAAATATTGTTTTAAGTCACCCGAAAGTTGTTTTTCAAGGATTCTTTATAGGGTTTTATTTTCTCCCAAATAGATTTACCAGGAATATGAAAATATCGAATAAGCGGTAAACAGTGTTGTAAAGTAATTTTCAAACCCTCAAAATTTTCGTTGGACCATTCTTCCGAATTAGTGGATAAAGTGAGATTTCGTGCAATTCCCCATTTGATAATATAATCCCAAATTTTAATTTCTTCGAAATCAATGCCGTTTATTCAAACACTGATAATGTAATATAAAAGGTTATGTTCATTATAATTACAATTATATAAAAAATTAAAAAATTAAATTATGAATAGGCTTAAAATTCAAAGTTCAATAAAAAAAATTCAAATTCAAATTTTTCATTCAAAATAAAGAAAATAGCATAAATAATATTACTAATTAGTTTTCTTAATAGCCTTAAATATTTTTTAATCAACAATATGGATCAAGAACTTTTTACAGATAAAATCATAATAGCAAAGAGCTCCACAATTATCTACGGCTCGACTGAGAATAGAATTTTGAATCTTCCCATTCTTTAATGAAAAGAAGAAACTACTATTAGTTTCTCAAAAGATTTTAACTATCAACTATTTCATCGGTTCCCGTAACCTTTGTAACCACGATCGCAACAGCACGTCCGTTACATCTTCTAAAATGGTTCGGACGAAAACTATCTCGACTATCTCGAAATCGTAAGGTATATTTGATGTGAAATTCCTGCGACATGTTCCTTGAAGGAAAATCCAGAAATTGGAAAGTTTCTTGCTGGCAAACAAGTGATTTAACAGGCTCATTTGAAAACATAAAATATTTGTTTAAGTCATCTCAAAGTTGCTTTTCAAGGATTTTTTGTAGGGTTTCATCTTCTCCCGAATGCATTCACTGGGAATATGAAAATATCGAATAAGTGTGTAGACATTATTGTAAAGTAATTTGAAATATCTCGATATTTTCTTTCCGAATTAGTAGGTAAATTAGGATTTTGTTCAATTCCCCATTTGATATCAAATTTAATTTCTTTTAAAAAATGGAAACGAATGTACTGTTTCTTGGAATGATTTAAGGTTCGGAACGTAAAATAATTACATGACAGAACGTATGATTAACTTACACCGCACAATTCCCAGAAGGAGATGTTGTTGTTGGCTCTTGAATTCCACGGAAGGTATTTTTTCACCTGGCGCCAAGTCCTCTATATTGTTTGGCAGTCGTTCTTTATGTGGTTTTCTTTCAATGTTTACATAGTTCTCGTTTATTGTGGAAATCAAACTATCGTTAATTTATTTATTATAAATAAATATAAAATAAAATATTATGTATATAACAGTTTAGAATCTTAAAATTTATGGGTACGTTCACACTAGTCTTATCTCAATGAGGGTTATACGTTAGCTATATATGTCATATGTACGGTATACTGTATAATAACCAAAGTTATCATATTCCACGTGTAAAAGATAAATACTTACTCATTAATCGAGTTTTGATTCTTTTCCGTAATTCTGTCTATAAATTGAATAAAAATTGTTACTGAAATCTAAATTATGCTTTCGCTCATCCATTCATTCACTTGATCATTAAACTTCAAAATAAAAAAATCGAAATCATTGGCAAATCTGAGTACATTTTGCATTCTGAGTACATTTTGCATTGGCAGAATGCGGAAGCAACTGGCACTCACTGCTTACAATGGAAAAGAGAATACTGCCAGTTCAGAAACAGAAAATAATTTGGAATTCATATCTCTTTGTGCTGAAGCACGAGCCTAAGAATTACATCGTTTTAACCTAATTGTACCTTTAAAGAGAATTAGGAACAGATAACTAATAGCAGGGAAAGTATAAAAGAAAAAGATCACACAGCAATTATATGGATGTACTAAAGTTGAAAGGTTTTGTATTTTAATAATACAAATTAATGAAGGATTTAAGATTGTGATTTTTAGTTGAAAGAGTAAGGCAGTGAGGTTTTTATGGGGTGTTCACATAGAACTAAAGGCAATTATTCGCACAGAATAATCTTCATCATGAAATTATAACTTTGTCACAAAAACTTTATTAATAATTTATTATTTTTTTTATTTTTTTGAGCTCAAGTTGAGAACTGAAGAACTCAAGAGCTAAGAGAAAACTCAGCCTTTATATACATTAAAATCTTTGTCTATAACTTGGTCTACTTTTATGTTTGTAACTTTGTCTAGATATTTGTCTGTAATTATGTTCCAATATCTTTTGTCTAAACCTTTGTCTGTGTTACAGATTAAATAATTTTCTAAAACTATTTTGAGTAATAAATTATAATTCGTATTACGTGACTAAATTGATTAACTGATACTACATAATATTAAAGATAATATAAAAGAAAATAAAAACAAGCTAACAATGGGTACTCATTTTATGGAGTGACATATATAGACACGGAATCTTTCATAAACATTTTTTAACAAAAAAAGAGAGAAATAAGTAGAATTATAATATTTTTTTTTTCTAAACAACAATAAAAAAGTAAGAAAAGTGTATAAATTTACACATTCTTGAATACTATTTATGTGAAGAATTTTCGAAAAAAAGGAGTTAAAAAAACAATTTATTATTATCTTATCCGCCATTATGAATTTCAGACGGCACGAACGTAACTAGGCTATATTTCTTATTAAAATTACGTGAAACAAGTAAAACATATATTTAACAACTCAATTTTATCCTTTATGATTAAACAATTTCATGTTATAGTGTACATATGTATCTATATTAATTATATATTTTGTCAAATCATATTGTACCAATTAAACAATAATGCACCTTATATTGAGATAATCATATAACATTGTCGGTTAAATAGTAATCATAAAATTCACAGTTTTTATATTATTATTAGAATAGAAAAATAGAAAATATTAAATAAATGTTATGAGCTAAACTAGATTGATATTTCACATTTTGGAATTTTAACATTTTTTAATCTTAAATACTTCATAATCTACAATAGAAAAATTTCATCAGTTGGTCTAATAGGTTTTTAATAATAAACATTATATCCAGAATCATAATCACATCACCAACATAATATATCTCGAGTAAAATCGGAAACTTTTGATTTCATTGTAAATTCATAATCACCAAAACATAGAACCCTCAATATCTTGATCATTAAAATTAGGATAGTATAAAGCTCTACTATCATTTACAACTCGGCTGAGGATTGAATTTTGAATATTCACATTTTTCAAAGAAAACTGAAAATATTCATTCTTGTTGAATCATACCAAGTTAAAGGATCATAACCACCAACTATTTCGTCAGTTCTAGCTTTTACAACCAAGTATGTCCCTTACACATCTCCCAAAATGTTTTAGGATGAAAACCATCTCAACTTCTCGATGAATTAATTGAAATTCATAAGTATATTTTGATAAAGAATAAATATTTGATTTTCAATCAATCCATGATGAAAGTTCAGCGACATATTATTGGTTGATTATGGTTGAGAATGGTTCATTAACTCTTTCTAGCAAAACAAGGCTTTTAACAGGTTTATTTGGAAACATACGATAGAGGATTAAATCATTCCAAAGTTGTTTTTCGAGGATTTTTTTTTTTGTGGGGCTTTACTTTCTTCCAAATATATTCACTGAGAGAAAATATCGAATAAGTGGTAAACATTGTTGTAGAGTTATTCTCAAAGCCTCAAAATTTTCTTTCGAATCAGCAGGTAGTGGAGATTTTATACAATTTCCATTTGATAACATAATTCTAAATTTTAATTTCTTCGACTTTCAAGCCATCTCTTTTCAAAATGAAAATCAATGTAGTTTCTTGAGTGAAGTGAAATCTCCCGATTAAAAAAAAAATAAATTTTGATGTTTGGCAATAATATCATTACATATTTTCAAGTTTTTAATTGATAGTTCTTTAAGTTCTAATTCATTAACATTGAAAATTAATTCATAAATAGTTTTGGCATCCGTATTTTCAATGTCAAACAATTCCTCCATAGATATATCTATAAAATATATTTTATTTTATTAATATTGAAATCATTTTATTAATTATTTAGGTATTAAATAAATTCTTTACTTACTTATGAATATATATCTGAACAGGAATATTTAGTTTAATAATAGTTTTGATATAATTTTCATTCGCAGTAGCGTTCTTCAATTCTTTATCAAAGTAAGATGAACGATAACGTAAGACAACTGAATGGGAAGTAAAAAATTTCTTATTTTCTCCTTTATCAACTTCAATATCAACATTATAATCTTTTTGGTCATTCAGAAGTTCTGAAAAATCTTGAGATAATTTATCAAAAAATTTAAAGGACATTTCATTATTTCAAATTTTAAAATTGCGCAATCAGTTAATAAGACTCAGTCGTATTTGTAATTTAGCGTGTACTTTATTATTTTCCAGCGAGAATTATATAATTATATTCACTTATAGAATTTATATTAATTTTTGTACTACTAATCTCTGCCGATCGGACCAAATAGAACTTTCGATCTTTTTAATGAAATTTATTACAAATTAATTACTTTATTTAGATCAGATATTGATATATTATATTAAGGTTTACCTTTACTATAGATATGTAAGAATTAATTATTTATAAAATATTAGATCAACTAGAAGGTAAAAATAAACTGATTATTTCTTCATTAAAATTTATCAATTATTAATTTGTACATTTTTCCAATTCATATTTTTTCACCTTCGGATTATATACTAGCGTCCAGTCTTTCTCATATCCACCAAACATGCCTTGATCAAAACTGTTATAGAGATAAATGTAATTACACGTGTATTCTTGATCATCTTTGAGAATGCCATCATCAGTGCATTCTTGATTATCTTCGGAGATATCATTATCAATATCAATAAAAGCTCGAAAGATCAGAATTCTAATGAGATTAGGCATCATAGCGGGCCATCTAAAATTATTTCCCATACAATCTGTAAAGATATTAGTTACGAAAACAAATATAATAGAATAGTAAAAGTATATAAAAAATTTGTTGTACCTAAAAACTTCTGTGCATCACCCGATCTTTTCTCATAAGCACGAAGAGATTCTACAGTTTCAGATACTGTATCAGTAGTGATTGAAGTGTCAAGAGAAAGAGCATCAAGCGTACTAATAATTACAACGTTTTGAGTTGTAACGTTTAGATCTGTTGTAGTTGAAGCGTTTTGAACCATAGTATCTTGAACTGAAATGATTAAAGTATATAAAAAATTTGTATAATTTAGTTAGTATAATTAATACATTATAACAATTAATTTAAAATATGATACAAGTACAATATTAATTTATTTAGTACATACAAATTTTACAATCTTGAATATCATTAATCTTAGACTGATCACTTGTTGAAACGAGATTATTTGTTGATAGTTCTTGGTCTGGGAGTTCAAGTTCACAAGCGATTTTAACAAATTTAATTGAAGTACTTTGAACCGTACTTCCTTGAATGACATTAGTACTTTGAATTCCGTTTTTAGTGATGCCAGTATTTTGAGTTGTAGTAAATAAATTATCTTTAACTTCTTGAGTATAATATGTCTTTGAAGTATTATATTTGACAATAATACTTTTATTTTTTTTAAACAACTTGAATATCTTAGATACTCCCGATTTAAATTTTTTTCGTAAGCTTAACATAGTTGATTTATTTGAAGTTATAGGGGAAAGGAAAGTTCAAATTTTGATTATCATATTACACAATCTTTTTTTTAAATATTAAAAATAAAAATTATCCAAAGAAAAATACAGATTACATAACGGAACGTATGATCAACTTTTGGGTTTATCATTGGAAGGTATTGCAACATAACTACGTAGAAATAACGAAATCAGTTAATCAAACCATCGAGTGCATAATGATAATCTATTAATATAAAATATAAAATATTAAGTATAAGCTAAATTGAACAATGATACTATATTATTTTATTTCACAGTTTGGAATTTTTAACATTTTTTAATAATATTAAATACTTCATAATCTACAAAGAAAAATTCATTAATTGCTTTAACATGATTTTCATAATAATGATTACTAGGATTATAATAACACCAACCTAATTTATCTTGATTAAGATCAAATTGCATCATAAATTCCTAATTACAAATAAAATGTAGAGCTCCACAATTATCTAGAATTCGACGGAGAATTGAATTTTGAATATTATCATTTTTCAATGAAAAAATGAAACCAACATTTGTTTCCATAAAGACATTACTTGTTGAGTTATCCCAAGCTAAAGGATTATGGCCACCAACTATTTCATCAATTCTAGCAAACCTTTAGCACAATTATGCCAGCATATCATTACACGTTTTGGGACGAAAACCATCTCGAAGAATTAATTGAAATTCATAAGGTATATTTGATAACAAATAAGTAGACGATTTTCGATCAATTCATGATGAAAGCTCTGCAACATGTTCTTTGTTAATTATAATTGATAATGGAGCTTCTGGAGTTAAAATGGCTCTTGAAGGTAATTCAGGAGTTGAAAAGACTCTTGCTGGCAAAACAAGTGATTTCAAAGGTTTATTTGGAAACACAAAATGTTAAGTCATCCCAAAGTTGTTCTTCAAGGAATTCTTTAAGGGTTCTATTTTCTCCCAAATATGTTCACCAGAGATATGAAAATATCGAATAAGTAAACAGCGTTGTAAAATTATTTTCAACGCCTTAATTTTTTTTCTAGACCATTCTTCCGAATTATTAGGTAAAGTAGGATTTTGTGCGATTCACCCTTTTAATAACATAATCCCAAATTTTAATTTCTTCGATATTTAAATTATCTCTCTGCAAAATAGAAATCGATGCTGTTTTTTAAAGTGAAGTGAAATCTTCGGATTCAAAAAAAAATAAAGATATTTTACGATAATATCAATATAAAATTTTTTTCAAGCCATTAAATTCATTACCGTCAAAAATTGAATGGTAAACAGGGGAGAAATGGATATTTAACCAAGCTTTAGATTCAATAAGATAACGTTCAAATCTTACTGACAGTTATTTATGTTCTAATTCATTAGCATTGACCATTAATTCATAAATGGTTTTTGTATCCGTATTTTCAACATCGATGATTCCACCATAGATATCTCTATGATCGGAAATATTCGTATAAATTATAAAGGTCTTTATTAGGATCTAGTATAAAGTGTATATCAATTGAAATATTCATATATTATGGAAGAAGATTATAGTGGATATCCAGCCCAGAAATATGTAATCAAAGAATAATGCAACAAAGAATACATTTTTTGGGGGGTTTATCAGGATTTTTTTTAGAAATTAATTCCATCTATCAAGGAATGATTGTAGTTTATCAGGTTCATCAGGATCTTGATATATTGTTACGGTATTACTTGGAGGATGTGATGATGGGGGTTCAGGGAAAGCAGTAGTGACCGCACTTCGAGTATTAATCATCTTTCTTTATTCTCTCTTCCTCCTCTATGCTCTGTACGACATATCCGGCAATCACATAAGGACAGTTTCTCTGTGGAGTTTGGTGAGATGTTCCTTGTATTGTTATTGTTCGTGAAGGGAGCACTGGAATGCGAGACATTTTTTGAACTTATTTTTTAAAGACGTTGTTTGTATCATACATAATGCAGGTAGCATACTATAAGTATAAGGAGCACAGCGTTTTAGGGATACGATTGCTAATTCAGTACTTTGTGTCTAATCTTTGATAATTGAATACATTGTGCTATGGAATACCAATTCGTACCTGTGCGTCATGATACCTTGAATAAGCATCCGGAATTTTTACTGCGTAATTTTTCCATAATTTTTTACGCTGAAAAAAATTCCGTTTTTTTGGACTTCGATCGCAATTTGTGGGACAGGAAGGGATTTTTTATTAAGGTTTTCTTATGACCGATCGAAAGCCTAAGTTCGATGAATCACGGGCAAAAATCCAATAGGGAAATTTTACTTGGGCAAATTCTAAAAAAAGAACAATTTTTATAAGAGTTATCGAACATATTCGCCCATATGATGACAGTGTTACATCCTTTTAGCACCGATATCCATCGATATATTCGGTTTAAAGTCAATATGGCCCCGTGTAGGTGTCGTAATATTACGGAGATTTATGCCAAATAAAATTTCCTGATACATGTAAGTCTAGAAATTCATTGTTACGATTAACTTCTGGGTTTATCATTGGGGGGCATTGCAGCATAGCTTACACTGATAATGTATAAATAACAAATCAGTCATCGAAACTTTTTTTAGCATATAATGTCTTTCATTTATTTTTAAAATAGAAAAATAGGAAATATTCAAGTTCGGAATTTTTAACATTTTTAATAATCTTAAAAACTTTTAATTCCATCATAAATTTGACATTACCAAAATCTGGACTATCAATATTCTGATCATCAAAATTATAATAATGTAAAGCTCCAATACTGTTTATAACTCGGCTGATAATTGAATTTTGAATATTCCCATTTTTTAATGAAAAAAAAAGAAACTGTAATTTGTTTCCAAATAAACATCTTATCCCAAGTTAATGGATTATAACCACCAACTATTACATCAGTTCTAGCAACTTTTGTAAGAATAATTGTATCAGCATGTCTATTGCACATCTCCCAAAATGGTTTGAGACGAAAACCATTTCGACTTCCTCAAAGAAATAATTGAAATTCATAAGATATATTTGATAAAGAATAAGTAGTCGATTTTCAATCAATCCATGATGAAAGTTCTGCGACATGTTCGTTGTTGCTGATTATGGTTGAAAATGATTCATTCACTCTTGAAGTTAATTCAGGAGTCGAAAAGGTTCTTGCTGGCAAAACAATTGATTTAATAGGTTTATTTGAAAACATAAATATTGAATTAGGTCATCTCAAAGTTGTTTTTCAAGGATTTTTTTATAGGGTTCTATTTTCTCCCAAATATCTTCACCAGGAATATGAAAATATCGAATAAGTGGTAAACAGTGTTGTACTATAATTTTCAAAGCCTCAAAATTTTCTTTGGACCATTCTTCCGAATTGGTGGGTAATGTAGGGTTTTATGAAATTCTCCATTTGATAATATATTCTCAAATTTTAATTTCTTTGACGTTTAAGTCATCTCTTTGCAAAATAGAAATTAATGCCATTTCTTGAAGTGAAGTGAAATCTCCAGATTCAAAAATCAAATTTGGGTGTTTTGCAATAATATCATTATAAAATTTTTTCAAACCTTTAAATTCGTCACTATTAAAGTTTGAATGATAAATAAGGGAAAAATGAGTTCTTAACCAAAAAGCTTTAGATTCAATAAGATAACTTTCTAATTTTTCCGATAGTTCTTTAAGTTCTAATTCATTAGCATCGGCTATTAATTCATATCTTCAATATCAACAATTCCACCATAGATATATCTATAAAAAATGTATTTTATATTATTAATTTTTTTTTTAAATCCAATGGAGCTCCAATAAACTTTTATTAATAAATTAGGTGTAAATTTTAAAGATACAGATAATTTATTTTACATTTATTAAAACATTTTACCATCCAACTTATTGTTGCCTAAATGTAACCTCAGGAACTGATGGCCAAAACCCTATCAGATGTAATTATTATATATAACTATAATTATTATTATATTTGCATCCTAAGTTAATCCACATTCTATCATGTTCTTTTCTATTTTTTCTATTTTACTGTATTTCCCTTCATTAGTTTCTACCAACTTTATACTGTCATTATATTATCTTATTTCCCTCACCTTTTTTAAATTAATTTTTCCCTTTTTTTTCAATCTATTTGTAATATTATTTTTAGCTTCCCATAGTGCCACTTTTTCACACCATTCCTTCCAGTAGTCTTTTAAGTACTCTTTGAAGTTAACCATTACTTCAATAATTGCTTCCCTGGCCCTTTCTCTAGATTTCAACATTGATGTAACTCTGAATACTAATGATTGTGGTATGAATCCCTTGATTAATTTGTGTAATGTGATCCTAGGTGAACCCATTTCATCTGTATCTCCCCAAAACTTCCATAACTCACTTAGGGACCTAAGTTCACTTTGTTTTTTGTCTTCCTCTATCTCATCTGTTTGTTGTTGAATTTTTATAGTTAGGCAATTAATTAGTTGTTTGTAATGATTTGTCATTGATGTGTATTCACTCTCTTCATTATTATTTCTTTTGCATAATTTTCTCTTGCTTCTTGATGATTTCTAGCCCATGTATATCAGTTTCCTCATACCTTCCACATAATAAAAATTTTGGACTGTTATATATGTGAGGGTTATGCTTGAATCTTTTGAGCATTACAGGCAGTTCTCCATTAAAAAGTTTCATTGCAAAACTTTTTTAATGTGATCTTCTTTGCTTGTGTTATCATTTGTTATCTTACTTGGATGTAATTTTTTAAATGTAATGATCCAGTCAATTTTTTGTGTTTTTTCATTATCCAAGATTTTTTGAAACCTTTTTTTGCAGTTTCCAACATTGTCTGTCTTATTGTATTTATTTTTTTTAAGGCCTGCTTTATAGGGGCTCTATGGGTATTTCTTCCCAAGTTGGAATAAATGATCTGTTTCCAATATATAATCATCTTTTATTTTTTTTTTCTGTAACTTGTGCTAGTTGGTCTGCTATTTCATTAAAATAGTTTCTTTCATGTGCTTTTACCTTATGTAACCTAATTTGTAGTTTCAAATCATATATAATTTCTTTTATAGTCTGAAGTATAATAGGATTTTTGACTTTATTCCATATATAATTTATTTTTACTTTATTGTCTTTGTTCATATTATCTATAGAACACTTGCTATCTGTGTATATAATACCTGGAAACTTTTTGGCATTACCGTTAGTGCTGTTAGTATTGCCATTAATTCTGCTCTAGTTGATGATGGGAATTGTTCTAAGTTACTTCAGAATGTCATATTATTATTTAATTCTTGATCTCTTATAGTTTCTAATTTTTTATATAATGACTTTTCTGTTGTTAACCATTTCTAATCATGTTTGTTTTGTTTCTATGTCAGTCTTATCTAAACATATGCTTTGGTCATTTATAGGTTCTTTGTGTGCAGATTCTATAATTTCTATTGCTTTTTTAATGTTTTTAAATGGCATCCTTATTCTGTGTATATATTTTATATTATTAATATTGAGTCACAATATAGTTAATTTATTATTTAAAGTAATAAATAAAATTTTTGACTTACTTAAGAATAATTTCGAATATTTGAACAGAAATATTTGGTTTAATAATAGTTTTGATATGATTTTCGTTTGTAGTAGAGTTCTCTAATTCTTTATCAAGGTAGAATGAACGATAACGTAAGACAACTGAGTGAGCAGTAAAGATTTCTTATTTTCTTTGTCTACTTCGATGACAACATTATATTCTTTTTTGTCATTAATAAGCTCTGAAAAATCAAGAGATAATTTATCAAAAAATTTAAAGTGCATTTATTATTTTAAAACTTAACTGTACAATTTAGCAAACAATCAATATTTTTATACGTAGAATTTTAGAATATGATTGGATGAAGATCGTTAAAAAAAATGCAAATTAAGCAAGATTTACGGTTTCTATTTCGAATTTTGTTGATTGTGCCACGTCTTATTAAAAGAAATAACTCGATTATATAACCAGACTACGTATTTAGCTCAGCTATTCCGTAAATCATCGATAAAAAAATCACGGGTGACTAATTAGGAACGGTAGATATTTTTCTCAAATTTTCAGGGAAAATATCATTATAACGTATGAGAAATATCAATATATAGTATCACGGATTTTAATACCTGGTTATTATGCGGATCACGAATTAATTTTTGCCACTCAATCGTCGTTACCCTAGGAATTCAGTAAATAACTACTTACATAATATTTTATCATTATCATCTAAATTCTACAACTACAGTACATCAGGAAATTTTTTATGGCGTAAATCCGTAATATTAATATTTATACTGGCCGTTTTGACTTTAAACCGGCGGATATCGGTGCTACAGGTATGAAACGTATATAATCTTGTAGTTAAAACCAGAGGTCATAAGAACACCGTGATTGAAAATCGCTCTCTGTCTCATAAATCGCGATCGAATTTTTTACCGCGAAATTTTCCCGTAATTTTTACTCGCAATTTTTATGCTAAAAAAATTGAATTCGATCGCAATTTTCTATTGAGATATTCTTATGACCGGTCGAAAGTCCTGCTGAGCTACAAGACAATATGCATTTCATTCCCGTCATGCCGATATCTGCTGAGATATTCGGGTTTGAATCAAAAATGCCCGTTTTACGCCTAAAAAAAAAAAAAAAAATTCCGGATGATACAGCAGAACTTTTTATTTATGAAATGATGATTTCTATTTGAATAAATTTATATGTTTATTTATTATTATCTAATATTATTACTTTATGCATATAATATTTTAAATAGATTAAACTTTTTTTGGTAGTAATTTGACTTCTGGATATCACACTATCGGATTCACTATCCCTTTTGCATTATTTCTTTTTCTTTAACCTAATATCTAGATATTTAAAGAAAATTGATCAAGTGATAGAAGGAAGTTTACCTACTTTGGGT